GCCATAACCAGCACAAAACAATCTTTGGCCAAGAGCAACGGTTTGGAGATGTTTGGAGTATCAGCTTTGAGCTGCGAGATGGCCTTGCTGGGAAGCATCTTCGAGGAAGCGAAAATCTTGGACAGTGGCTCCACATGCCTACCTCATGCAGCGTCATCAGGTCACGAACATCAGACGTTTCCAGGTGCCAAGTTTGAATCTCACGACTCATGCCATCTTTATCCATCTTTCATCAGTGGCCCACATGTCTCAAACCTTGCATGCAGCCAAATTTCCCTTCCTCTCAGAGCGCATGTAGGAGCCAGCATTGGTGAAGCTGATATCCACGCTGTCGTAACCTGAAGTTGATCCCTTTCTCAGCTCGCCTTCGGGATGTCTGAAAATATAGGGCGCCTGGAAGTCCAAACGGATTGATGATGATTGCCATTATCATTATCATCATTATCCCATAAAATGACATAACATGACCACAACAGAGCATTTTATGATATTTTATGCCACATGTTCAAATATTTTCAGACAAACCCATATGCAACTCATACGACTGGCGAACTTCATTTGGAACACATCTGGATCTGGATGGCGATACTCAGCATCTTTTTCCTCGAGATTCTTGGCTCCATCTTGCTGCATCCTTTCATGGCAAGTCTACCACCACCATCCCCCATCAAACCAGCAACAACCGGGTGTTTAAAAAAATGCACCCTAGATCCATCTATCTCCATTGGTTCAGAACATCGTTTTCCTTCTTGAGGTTGCCGCAAATTTGGGGTATTAGCCTATTCTTGACTAAGCCAAACTTTGAAAAGTGCTCTTTACCACTTGGTTTGCCTAGCCTTCCTCCATCTGCCGAGGCTCGTAGGTGGGAGAGACACTTGGGTCGAAATTCGGCCTGCAGTGATCGGTAGAGCCTAAGTTGACAGCCAAGTGCCACCAAGTCCAGCTGAAATATGCTAGTTGGGGGTGCATCCCAGGAATCGTGAATGGTTAACATGGTACAATCCAGTCTAATCCAGTCCTATAAATTCGCAAAGATGGTCTATAGGCTATGTCTTAGGTTATAAACCACCTACTATATAACTGGGATGCACATCTGAGTAGAATTGTTGAAGGTTCCTAAGAATATGAAGAAATTCATAGAACTTCCATGCGCCATGCACCCTGGAAAGTGGGGATGGCCATCCCCATTCCCTTTGCAGCGCAGTGGCTGACTGTACCGCTGCACATCATATGTAGCACGCCCTTGTGTAGTCAAGGGCTGGTCGGACAGCATTGAGCTGTCAGCTGCCATTGGAACGAAGAAGCTTGAAATGGAGCCTATGGGCAACTTTGATTATTTTGATTTGAGAACAATCTTGATCCGCAAATCCTGGGTTTTGATGATGGCCGTTTCTCGGTGCCGGACTTCAAGGGGATATGAATCGCAAATATATCGTCGAACGATGGTCCTACATGGTCTTACTAGGTTGGCAGGTTTCCTGAATTTCCCGCTTCAAACTTCCATGTTCTGAGCCAATAAACAGCGCATAACGGTTATGTACTCCTAGTGCATCCCCATGAGCGACTGGGCACCAGTTGAGTACCACGGGAACTCCCCAGGGCCTCTTCCGTGGCTAGGCATCCGTGCGCGCAAACCCACATCTTTCAAGGGTAAGCCCAGGGGCGATGTGAGATGTGGCGACCTTGGCGCGGGAATGTCTAGCCATGGGTCTACTTCGCCTGGTACCTCGGTGAACATTAGAAAACTGGCTTCAATGGATGGTCATCCCCCTGAAAAAAATCTCTCCAGTGCCGCTACATATGGTTGATCTCCCGTCCCTGACATGCACCTCACTGGCCGTTGAAGGCTGCCTATATGGTTCGCAATTTACGACGAAGAAATATCGACATCCGTACTATCCAGATCTATCCAGGTCCCAAAGCAAATAAACACACGCACAGAGAGAGAGAGAGAGAGATAGATAGATAGATAGATAGATAGATAGATAGATAGATAGATAGATATACATCACACACACACACATATATATATATATATAAATAATATATTATAAACTAAAACTATAGCACAATTTGAGGTCAATAGGCAGTCACCAGTCCACCCTCGGCACTTTTTCGCATCTGCTTCTCTTTGGGCTGTTCTCTTGTCGCGGGGCACGCGGCCACTGATCTTTCCGCCGGAGCTGGCGCTGGAGCCGCTCGTCATCTCACAAAAAGAGTCGATATCCTTGGTGAGGCACGAAAACCGAGTTCAACACATGGCAGACACGTTCGCATTATTATTATCATCATCATCATGATATATATATATATAATGATATTATGAGTTTATATATTTATACAAAATTATATATATATATACATACATGATATATATATATATATCATAATGATTATGAAAACAGTGTCCAGAAATGGAGGAGTCAGTTTCATTTTGAAGAGGAGAGCCTTGACAAAAGAACTATTTCAAGGTGTATGACTGAACAAAGATGTCACGAGGCAATATATAGCATACAGCATGGAAAACAGCTCATCGGAATAAACAATTTCAGATATCCGGGTCCCTTGTTCCGTTTGGACATTTGCCCCAATCATGCCGCAAATGGATATATCATCTTGAATACAAACTAACTCAACATACCAATTTTGCAGGACCATTGCTACTCCAACTTCCAGCCAAGCAACGCCATTATCATACAGGCACAACTCACGAAAGGGCTCAGCCGATCTCCGATCACCGCAAAGCGTCCAAACATTCCCAAGAAGCCTGGAGCCTCGAGAGCGCAGTTCGGAGAAGTTCGATGTTTGATGAAACATGCTTAATATGAAGGCCACAAATGCTATGCGGATTCCATGCTTACCCACTGTCACTGATCCAAAGTTCATAAATTCCAAACAAGTGAGTGCCGAAAAACCAAAAAAACAACAATTTGTGCGCAGCCCAGTAATGATACACAATTATATAATGATGGCATATTCATGCATCTTCCCATTCTTGTTGGTCGTTAATGTTATCACCCCATGAGCTTTTTCCAAGACCCAAATCCTTGTCCAGCCTTTGGCTGTAGGAAGTTCCCGAAGCGTGGCCTGTGATTTCGCAGCTGTTGGAAGCTTCATGGCTTTCCATGGATTTGTGATCCCGATCCAAGCAGGGATACCTCATTGCTTGATCCCCCCTGCAGATAGAAAAGAAACAGCTGTTCAACAGCTGCTGTTGCACTATGGACCTGGACAACTTGCCATTTTTCAGTGCATGGCATTGTTGTTACTGTTATGTTCTGCAAAAAATGCCAACCTGCGATAATCACCAAAGAGACACAATTTTTACCTTTAATGATCATGACCATTAGTCATCACTATACAGGGGATTGCTGGGGCCTTCGGTCCTGTGTGGTCACAGCTTTGTCGACACGATTTCATGTGAAACTGTTATGACAGAAGGAACGCAAGTGACAAACTGCATGATATTTGCTGCCTGCAGGTTCGAGGCGCAAAGATGCTGAGCAGAATTCCCCACATGAGTCTCCACACTTCTAAAACTTCCTGTCAACACTCCTTCAACAATATTAATATAAGTAGGCATTGAAATTTCTACTCTAAACCATCCTCCAACCCAAAAAAAATGCAACCTCGTGAATTTCAACTTGCAGGGTCACTCAATATAGTGCCTGTCCCATCCTATTCCAGTTCTCAGTTCCCCATTCCGTAAAATAATTCCTGAAAACATCCCGGACCTCAAGTAGGAGCAGGTGCAAATGCTGAGAAGAACCACCACCAACAATCCCTGGAAGTCGAACAACGCCGACATCGCCTCGAACCATCATGGGATTTTTCCCGTGATGAGTCATGGCTTTGGACGGAGTCAGTATGTTGTTAGTTATTAAAATCTGGCTGGTGGTTTTAACATGTTGAAAAATATGAAAGTCAATGGGAAGGATGATCCCATGTATTATGGAAAAAATGTTTGAAACCACCAAGCAGTTATGGTACCTATAATGATTGGACAATGGATAATGGGAGAAGACTTGATAATTATGGGATAATAATGGAAGAATCAGATTTGATGGGTTACAACAACATGTTACAAACCCTTTGGCTAACGCTGTGGCACATCCCAGAGGGAGTTGACCCGACCTGACATGAGGTCTTCATGAAAGGGCTCATTTTTGACGTGTTGGGGTCTTCAAGGTTTTAAATGAAGGCATGATTGGGGATTTAGGGAGTGCCCCAGTTCTCACAGTGCTGAATCGTTTGGATTTGTAGTGCAGGGCTGAAGGGCCCATGCCTTCTCCGAAGTGGTCACACCCTGCAGCCAAGTATCTTCCCTGCCCTCCCACGTGCACCGCGGGCTATTGGAGTTTCTGTACTGATCCAAAATCAGAAAGGCACAGTGCATGTAATGTCAAACCACTCACTCCAAGACATTCCAAGACCATCTGCACAAACTTCAATAGGTCAAACATCGCCCCTGAGTTAGGTAGGCTCTGGTTCAAATCAATGGCAGACTTAGGATTGAGTGGCATCAGGCAGGTTGACCTTAGCAAACCCTCCTTCATCCATTTCCGCAAAAAAATCACTTTTTCGAGCCTTCAAAATGGAGGCCAACCATGGCCAACCAAACAACCATGGCCAGCTGAAGCAAAATCCCAGGTGAACTGGACGATCCTCTTGGCTTCCGAACCAGACCAGTGGAGAGACAGCCTCTCCAGTGCCTCAGCGGCTATTCTGCTTGCATCAGAAATAGCCCCATGAAATCCTATGAACTGGCTTATAGCGTCCCCCAAAAAGATCCAAAAAGATTTCCAGGATGGTAAGGATGATGTTTCCCCCTCAACTTCCAGCTTTCCAACTTTTCGACCCTTGGAGGTTGACCAGCGACCCAGCGTTCCCAGAGCTAAGACCAAGGACTTAGTCGAAGGCTGCTCCCAACATCCTGAGGTCGCTGTGAACAGATTTTTTGGGATGTCATGGCCATATTTCAGGAACACCAGTTTCATTTCAGGAAAAACAGTGTCTGATCTTCATCAATTCTTGGTGGTTACATAGTTTTCCATAGTTTTCCGAATTCAGCTTTCAGAATTTCGCCAGAAAACCGTAGCCTGCAGCTCACCATTGCAACTGAGTCACCACGATGGGACCTCCATGGATCGATTCATCACCAGATACCTGAGATCTGAAGATATGGCGAAGCTAAGGTGCCATGCTAAACCATGGCATTCCTAAATAACAGCATGCACATAATTATCACATCAGTACCATATAATATTATGATTATACATGGTAATACGCGACAAGCAAATAATGTACAATATTGTACAATATTATTATCATGACTATGAAAAACCATATCATCAGGATTATCGTAATAATTATATATATATATAGTATCATCATAATTATCATGTTTGATTCTTCACTTTTATTCCCAATATCAAATGTCGTAAGCCCAGTCACAACGAGCTGCACCCAATAGCTCTCTTAGCCCAATGGTTTTGGCAGATCAGGCCATCAACCAAGCGCAAGGCACTGGAAACACAACGGGATCCCTTGGGATTGCTATGTGTTTCTGCTGTGGGGCCACCTCTGGTGCACTGTCAATGGCTGGGTCTAGGTATACCAGGTATCCAACACTCCAAGTCGGTGCCAGAATGTCATGGTCCTGCACAGAATGTTGCGCCAAATTCTCCCAGAAACGCCCCCGATTTAGCTGGTAAAAGGACAATTTCCTGATGTTTCCTGCAAGTTTTCCCCTAAATAAACCCAGCGATTCGTGAGAAATGATGAAGCGACTTGTCAAGGCTATCTCGGAACGTGCAGGGCAGCTCGGGCTGTTTTTGAAACTTCAAATGTAAATCAATCCTTCCTGGATTGAGACTTTTGCTCAACCAGCTAGAAACAAATCCCTCTCCCCTCATATATTCGACACCAAATCGAACATTTACCCTGTACATCACTGTACACCCTAGTTCAGTATTGGATCTATCATTTTGGATCACTTTGGGGTCCCTTGTTGGCCCTATTGGGGCTATTCGGAGCTATTGGCCCTATTGGGGGATTGGATCACAACTGGCTGCCTTTGGCCTGGGTTTGCAAGACGAACAAGGCGGTGCCCACCTAAACGATACCTAAGTCGGTTCACAAATAGCATCAAATAGCATCAAATAGCTGGTGTTCACTTTGGCTATCTCGTGATCATCATAAATTCTCTTCGGGGCACCGCCTGCTTTGCCACTCGACTCAGGCGTTGATGCCAGGAATGGATGGGCCTATGTCTAACTCCACTTCTAGTTCGAGGTCGTCCAGATCGTCATCTGGCAAGTCAACCTCAAAGAAGGCATCCTGAAACTTGCAACCACCAGATTCTTGTCCATCCGGAAAGCTGGAAATCATGAGTCGACTATCTATGAACCCCTTGAGGAGAGAAACAGACACCTTCATTTATTGTTGTGGACCCCTGTGTAGCAAGAACTGCCCCATGGTCAACGCCCCAATCCCTGGTTGATGGTTAGAACTACCATCTCAGAGTGGACAATGTGACGCCAACCCGCTCAATTAGTCTCAATGCATCAGGATTTTCCCAGTAGCTGGATGGCATTCTTTGGAATGGCTGGGACCTTCACAGTTGCTGATTACCACGCACCAAAATCACCAAAAGCTTCAAAGTTCTGTCCTCAGCATGGGCCTTTAAGAAGTCCCCCAGCAAAGTGGCTTCGCGCTGTCCGATGTCATGCCCCAAGGCTTGTAGCCTCTCCAAGCGAAAGCCAGGCCAGTGATCAATTCGTTCCAGCGATGACTTAACCTGAGCTTTCTAGGCAGTTTTTTTTTCTGGGAATGACACCATCTAATGGGGGTAAAACAATAATAAACCACCCATTTGGGAATGGTTTACACCACCTATTTATGGTTTATTATTGTTCTACCAACATTATGTAGGCTTTGGTGGGTGTCTTTTGAACTATTTTGAACCATACCAAATTTTCTTTCCGAGCTGTGGAATCCGAATCGGACTGTGCCTCACCTTAAATGGTCTTCAAACAAGATCAAAACACACCCATCTGATAACCCATAATTTATAATGGCACGAAGAACTATAATGACTTGGGGCAGCCCCTATTTTGTGTAGTTTCACCCCGTTTTCAGAATATGACAATCAGCTCGGATCATGTCCTAAGTGCATCGTTCCAATGCCTCCGACAAACTTGGCAACTATTTATTCAAACATACAGTCGGCAAGCTGTGAGCAGTAAAATGATGTAACATGTGAATATCTATCATATTTTCTGATCCTTCTGACTTGGTATATAACAACCGTATCTGCAATCATTCCAGTCGTTTCCCAATCATTCCAATCGTTTTCCAATCATTCCAATACCAAATTTTTGCTGGCTGTCTTCGTAGTGGAATTGTTGTTGGTTGTGCTGCGCTACGCTGCGCGCTACATTATCGTGCTTGTGTATCGATGATTGGCAGTATCATGTCAGCTACGTCTAACTGGCAGTATCATTATGAATGAGGGATGGAAATCCTTGGTTCATAGGGGTTGCCGACCAATCATTGGTGGAATCTTGATTTATGAGACGATATTGGACAATGTTCACCCCCAGAAGCACGTTGCCTGACATCTTTTTGGTACACAACTGACGCATTGAGCTATATAACACCAGTCCCCAGCCATGGTGCCAACTCGAAAGGGACTTCAGAATCTTCTTCAGCAGCTTGAAGCCACACGGGCCGTGCTGCCTGCCAACATCCCCACTGCACAGGATGGTTCCTGTATCTCAATTTTTGAACATGGTTCCAACATGTTCCAAAATGTTCCAAACATATCTTGGGGCCGCACGTTCAAAAAACTTGTGCACTTGTGATATCTTTTGTATCTTTTGTGAACATTTGGCACCTAGTTGTGGCTGACCGGCCAGTCCCACCCTTCGGCGCCCGGCCTTTCTTCTCCTGCTCTGCAACTTCCTGCGCCGAGCCAATGACCAGTTCCAAAAGCTGGCCAACAAATTCGGCGGGCATGTTACAATGTTGCAGGAAAGCGTTTTCTTTTTACCGTACCATTCTTTCTTCACCTTCAAGATTCTCACAGTATTCAAGTAACACATCCACCAGGATCGGGCTGATGTTTGATGATTTTTGATGATTTTTGGGGATCCATCAGCCACCATGGAACCATCCGCAAAGGTCATGCAAAGAAGAGAGACAAGTCAATCCGTTGAGGCTGTGATGGGACATAGCCATCCATTACTGGGTTGGGGTTGATCTACAAGGCACTATGGTTGAACCATGTTAAGATCATCCAAATTTCTGGTGATTCGGGTGCAAATTTGCATCCTACTCCGGGGATCAACGACAAAAACATCTGGCAACGATGGTTCAATCATAACCGAACCAATTTTCTGGAACCTGACAAACGGAGTTCCAAAGCTGATTTTGCTATGGGATATGGCAATTTTCGAGTTCCATTTTTTTTATTTAGACAGTGTAAATAAATCAAACGCTTTGAGTCTTAAATCCCCGTTTTTGTTGCTTAAATTCTACATATGTGCCCATGAAATATGGTTATCATATACATTCATATACATGGTTGTGGTTGCTTCCTCAATCTACCCAAAGCCGAAGGGTTTCCACTTCCGGCCTCAGATGTTCATCTGCTCCGCGAAAGCCCCAGGCATCACCCGGCACGAAGCCCACACTCCCCACGAAGCCACCCAAGTTGTGGGGCGAACTGAGCTGTGGGTCAAACCATCATGACTTGGGGGATGCGGGATGCGACACATTTTCCAGCAATCCCCAAGTCATAGAAAAGTGTGACGCCTGGAAATATGTGGTCAACATCATCGGATTACCATCCTGGAAGATCCTGGAAGCACTTTTCGATCTGGTTGGGGGGTTGCTATGAAGCATGTGATGCAATCATGAAGAATCGGAATTTAACAATAAACGGGGAATCAGAGGGATTTAACACTGAAAACAGGGATCAAGCATTAACAATAGGGTTTTGACATGTTTTGACCAAACCGGGATTCAACCATCCAACCATTTGTGACTGAAGCAGCACAGGATTGGATGTAATCTGCAAACATGTGATTTAACAATCAAAAACTGACCCACTGTAGCCTGACAATCCTATCAATCTAAGAATATGCTGCCATTTTTGCCTTTTTGGGGTGCACCCGGAAAAACCAGCTTTTATGATGTTTGCCAGGCAAGATCATCCAAAGTATGATCAAATTTATTTGATTTCCGTCCCCGAAACATCCTGAAACCATATCTTCTGGGTAAATTATAATATTTCACTAACCTGAATCTTGCGGCCATTTGGGGATGATTCCCCTATAAAAACCATGATTCCAGTGAGGGAGGACAGTGAGGTCGTGATCAAATTTACCCATCTTGGAACAAAGCCTGGTGCCTTGTCATATGGCATTGTGGGAGAGTTATGTGACTGGAAGATACTGGAAGCATCCGAGGGGCCGCAAATAAGCATCCAGCCTGGGAAGTTTTCATGAGGCCCGTTAAGCTGCCCAAACTGGGGACATGCCATTGGATTGGGACGAATAAAGAGATAACGTACGGATAACTATGGATGTATAAACTATGGAATAAACTATGGATAAATCCCATTGTTATATACTATGGTTATATACTATGGATAACTATGGGCCTATAAACTGGGAATGCTTCAGTGGTTCCTTGTTCTTTTCTCAGGGAACCGATTGTTTGGTGCTGAGTTTCGACAAGTCGCGCAAAGTTGCATCCTTGAGAGATGCCGCCCAGAAATACGCAACCGGCCTGGCTCAGAGGAGGACCGCCCTATTTCAGCTTTGTAAAAGATTGCAGATGATCATAAATCATAAATGATCCAGATATGGATATGGATCAACATTGACCTTTTTTTGTTTTGGGTAGTGGCTTGGGAAGCACAGGCTTTGATCCTTTGTCATAGGATCTGCGATGTTTACCCATACCCAGATGTTGCTGCAAAACTCATGTGCCGTCCCATCATGTCAATCCAACCGCTGCCTCCAATCGGAGGACTTCTTCATGGATCACCTACAAAAGGGGCTGGATCCCACAATGCCAAGACAGGGCTGAGCTTCACTTGAGCATGGCCTCATCCAACGCCTCCCGCGTGCGCTCCAGGCCGTTTAGGTCGGAGACCTGGTTACTGGTGATGTCCAGGTATTGATACCTCGAGTTCTCTGAGAACATGGAGCTGAATTTGAGCAGGTGCAGTGCCCTCCAGGTATAAGTTGGTTTATTACCCCTTTAAACTTTAGACATAATACTCAGAAACCATATAAGTTCTAGAGCAACTTGGCTACGGGGCACCACCTTGTAAGAATTCACTGACAATAGCAGACCTACGACATGGAGAACCTGGATGAAGAGGGATGAACTTGGATAAACTATGAACCGTAACCCTGGACACGTTACTTATGACAAAATGTAACACACAAAGAGACACACACACACACATATATATATATATATATAACACATATACATACACTTAGAACACTTATCAATATTTATCAGGCTTATCACTTATACTCATACCTCCAATATTAAATAAACATATGTCTGATTCGGTATGACTTGTTGTCTGTCATGAAGTAAGCATCTAACCAACACAACCACACCCGTATCTTGTGTAAAAATGCTGGGGAATCTCTGCTACATCGAGCGTAGTCACCATGAGCCGATGGTTTCTCCCCAGGGCTGCTTCACCAGCGGCGCAGTGGGAAACACAGCTCCTGGGCGGCGGGGGGTGGGTGAGCCCCCAATCTGGTTGACCGTCTCTCATCGCGCAAACATGGTCCAATTGAAGATGGTTTGACGATACCCACCCAAGAGTATCCAAAAGTATGATCTCGTCAAGGTTTAAAGCCTGACACCAAGATTCACACCTAATCAACATTTATAAACACACATTTTCAACACATTTTCAACAGTGTGTCAAAACCTTAAGTACCCCTTTTTTGTTCACATCAAAATAGCTGGGTTAAAATGGATGTTCATCCCAAAAAACTATGGTATTTAATAGGTATTGATCCATACCCATATTTGTCGCATCATCATCATCTCACCAGCCATGATGAACCCCGGGCCAAGTCTCGCAGCCCGGCCGCGTAGGAAGTCCCCAAGCGCCAGGGCCAGAGCAGGTCGCTCTCCGCGTTGAGGTAGTCGCTACCGCTGCCTGGGGGCGGAATCTGGACCTGAAAAAAGCGGTTGACTTTGATATACCTTGTACCTTGATATACATCTTGATAAACATCTTGATATATCTTGATGATTCTTGATGTATCTTGAAGGCTAATCAGAAGAGAGTTTTTTGGAGGAGATGCTATTGGATAATCAACAATAACACTATGATCTTTATGTCGCTTTTTTATGCTTTTTTTCCCTGAGCTGAACTTCGACCATTTGCCGTTTTGCAACCGCACCTCCCAAGCCGTGGAGATAAATCAAGGTGTGTCGATGTGGATTGCCATTCTGCGGCGAAACTGCTTGCCTCGCGGTTCTGCCAGTGTCACAAGTAGTTTTCTATGTAGTTTTTGTCTCTGCAGAAATCAGTAGGACATTTTTAATTTCTGGACCAACTATGGTCTGCAGGTCGCTCCTTTAAGCCTGGAACTCGTGGCTGCATTCTTTCCGTATTTCAAACAGGTTGAAAAGCCGTAAAGCCATTTGAAAAGGATCATTGTAAAAAGGAGTGGGAAACGAAAGACTTGGACACCTCAATCAAATCATCATAGCCGCCCCAGGACCATTGGTATAGCTGTCACATGCTTTCACCCAAAAAAACTCATGTCATAGACCCCATTGAAGCCACAGGTCGAAGGCAAGTGACCCGTCTAGCTCAATGGCCTTCTTCTTCTTGGCTCGAAGCTGAGCCCTGCGGTCATGTGCGCACCTTCTTTGCCGCTGATGAGATCCACCTGGAAATGCCAGGGATTTCTGGAAATTTTGGGATGCCTCTGCTCTGAAACGCTGCAGATTCCACGGTGTGGATCGTTTTCTAGCCTCGAACAGGGTCCACACATCTGGGGTGTCCCGCACCTGCGAAGGTTACCGCAGCCGCAGCAAAAAGCTGATGGCCTCTCCGACACTGGACGGACCCACATGCAAAGCTGTTGCAAGCTCTGTGCAGAAAGGCAGGTCTGACACACACAAACACACATGATCATTCGACGATACAGGATGATACAGGACGGTCCCATTTCCACTCGTCTGCACCTGCCAAGTCCCCTGACGCGTCCACTCTTACCATATGCCGCCGTCTGGGCCCCAAGGGCGCCGCTGCCGGAGATTTTGGTGAGCTTGGCTGCAGCTCCATGGATGGCCAAGGGAAGATGAATGGAAGATGAACGGAAGTTCCAATGGGCTCTCGTTGGTTGAGTCATCCCAAACATGTTCGAAAAGTCAGTTGGGATCTTTATCCATTTTCTTGGAATCTGGAACGGCAAAAAAGATATGATATGTCTAGAAACTGTCTAGAAACTGCCAGGAATCAAATGGATATTATTGTCAACGAATTCAACTGCCGCTGGGATTGCGCCTGGCGCCACATCGATTTACCGAGCTGGCAATTTGGGATGCAACCTGGCTGCCTTCGAACATATTGGAATTCCATAGAGTTCCATTGTGTTCCCGAGTGTTAGAGACGTGAAGAACACATTTAGACACACTTCTTCCATTTTCTTCTTGTATCTTCTTGTTGATTATACACTGGAGCCACCTGTCTGCGGCCGAAGTTCCACGTGGCCCAATGCTGAATTAACGGGACAACAAGGTCGTGTTCAGGTGAAGCCAGCTGTTTTTTCGTGGTACAAGTACAATTGGCGCAATTCATTGCCATTCCTATCTAGCTGGTTTCCTCCACGGGATGTTCACGGGGTTTATAAACCAGCAAACATCACTGGGGGGGCCTCACCCTGTACTAACAACCAGCCTTGTTTCTAGACTTTTTAGCCCCTGGTACACCACCAAAAAACCTGGTGGATAGCTCCTGCATGGCACTGCCAGCGTTGCTGCTACAGTCGCAGCCTTGCTGGTACTTCTTGCCTCTGAGCTGGCTTTGTCTAGACATGGTGTCTCTCTCATGGATTTACATGGATTTACTACAAAACTATGACATTCTTGTCGGGCAAAATGACTTTGACGGCCCAGAAATCAAGAAAGTTCACATCACAACTGCTGCAGTCATCCGCAGTCAACTTCCATCAGCTTCCCGTGCAGGACCTTCCCATCCTGGGCTGGCCGACAAAACCATGTATCCTCACTCGATGAGCTGGTGGCTACGTCCAAGAAGCGCCTTGGGACATGGTTCGACATGGCTCCCGCTCCCAGCATCGATGACATCTGTACCTACGGACCTATGAGATCCGCAGTGTACGAGCTTACTTCTGATCCATGACCGACAATACCGTGTGTGATCTGGGGATATCTGGGGTCCGTGTATCATCCTGGTGCCACTCAACCGCTGCCCACTTCCAAACGAAACAGCCCAGGAGCCTGGACATTCCCCTGAAGCCCAGACCAGGTTTGCTGGACGTTGTCCCAGTATTCCACCCAGTTGTGGTTGTTCAAGTACCTTCGGCTTAGGAGCAGCACATCCATTTCATTCCATTTCCACCTGCTGGGGTCCAGCTGATCTAAATCAAACTGTGGTATCTTGTGGAACAGTTGGAACCTCATATCTATTTCATATCTTGTATAATTATAATTAATTATAGGTGATGCCCGTATCACTAGCTTTTGATGGCTGTGACCAACATTTTTTTGTTGGTTTAAACATGATTTTTGTAGGATTTTGATGAGTTTTGAAGCTTGAAATATCCCATTCATGTTTTGGTCAAACCGCTCTGGACATCGCAGCCCCACATCTTCCGCGCACTGGCCGCCAGAGACTTCACGCGTCCCTCCGTGCCAGCACTGTGAGACCTCATGAGAAAAGCCGCTGGCTGTGGGTGGGGCATATTTCCTGGTTCTTGGAGAGCGAAACATGGTAAACAATGGTGCGGAATCATGGGAAACCACTGCAAATACATGCAAATACTGGATCGATTTGCTCAGAGGTCAAAATAGTGAAGGAACCCGATTTTTTTCGCACTTTTTGCAATAATATATGCAGTGTCATTCTTTTGGGGTGCCCATTTTTGACCCATTCCCACATTTGAAAGCTGGCACATCACCCATATTCAATCGCCCAATGATGTTCAACTTCTTGTTTTCGGGAAGGTTCTGAACCGCAGAAGAAGGATGAACGACATGTTTTCAAAGGACGTTCAAACACACGCGAAGACACTCGTCGACCGCGGAGAGGAAGGAAAGCAACTAAAACATACTAAAACTGTCAAGAGGAATGCTGCAGTCATTTTGTGTCCACCCCACTTAATAATTATACTTAATTAAACATCAAAATGGCCAGCTCGCTCCCCAGATTCTCAGCTCATCTCAGCTCCATGCATTGGGGTTCTGAGTGGCTAGGCCTGGTCCGACGTCAAATACCGGTCCGCCATCCTCCTTCAGCTCCAAGCTTAGTTGAATGATACCCTCTGGTAAATTAACATAGACCCTGGCAGTCATCGGGGTTGGAAGACTAGTTTCCATTAAAAATTGGCTATTTTCAGGGTCCAACTGTTTATTTACCAGAGGGTATGTGATCGATACCATGACATTTGTCGATAGGAGGCTTCCGGGAATCCTGCGGATCCCACATCTGGCTCCGACTCGCCAAAGATGGGCAAAGTCAGAACCACCAAGTCAGGGCAAATTACAATAATTCACTAACCTGAAATAAGGCCATGTTGGGATGATTCCTCCTATTAACCATGATTCCAGGCTTCGGTCGCAGTCAAATCGTGATCAAATTTCCCCAGAGTTCAGTTTTTCCCCCATCCCCTAGCCATATCAGCCTAGCATCCCCCCACCATCCCCTAGCCATGTCAGCTCTGTAGCTCCGGCGCCTGCAAAGATCCCCGTGTTCCAACAGGGTGAGCCCACCTCCCTGGCGGGGACGCCCACCTTGGATGGAGATTTTAACCATCCACCATCATGGCCAACCATAGGCCATTTTCATAAAGCCATACATAATATCATAAACATCAAACAAAAAAGCAACGAATCCATAGTTTCCATCCATAGTTTCCCTATAGTTTTACTCATAAAAACTATAAACATCCATAGTTTCCCCAAAAAGTTTCCCTATAGTTTTACTAATAAAAACATATAAAAACTATAAACATCCATAGTTTCCCTATGGTTTTACTGGTGCCAGGAGCCCAATTTTCAGACACGAACCCCGAACGTCCGACCTGAGATTCTCACGGAGCGCAAGGCGTTGGCCAAGAATTTGGCCCAGGCCTCGACTCGTTTTTGTGATCCCAGGAAAGGTGCGGTGGGGATGACCAACTGGTTGGTGGTTTTACCCTCTGGTAAACTAACATAACTATGGAAAATCATCATTTTTAATGGGAAAACTGACTATAAATGGCCATTTTCAATAGCTATGTTAAATTACCAGAGGGTAACTGTTTTAACCATGTTGAAAAATATGAGTTCGTCAATGGGAAGGATGACAACCCATTGTTTTGACATGGAAAATAAAAGTCATGTTTGACACCACCAACCAGCCAACAATATGGGGATAATGTGGGGATAATGTGGGGATATATGAGGGATATAGATGGATCGATGGATCATAGGATGGGATAGGATAGGATACGAAAGGATAGGATGGATTAGATTGGATGAGATGAGATTATATAGATTTAGATATCCTTTAACCAGAGTGATAAGCATATGAATAAGCAGTTGAGGTGATTTAAATGGATACATGATACAACCATTGTGAATTCAGCTCCATACGTTGGGAATCGTTGGGATATGGGCCTCCTATAAGCCCTATAACTATGGCGACATGTCCACAAAAAAAACGTGACTGCAGCCCCAAGCAATGGGATTTACCCATCTTCTTTTGGGGATTTGATGGAACACATGTTTTCCACATGTTTTCCATAGGGATTCACAAACGCCAACAATCATTGATAGGTTTTTGTGACATTGCCAACCTGCACTATTCTAAACCATCCCCAATAACCAACATTTTGGGAGCTATAGTTATCTGGTAGTATATGTCATATTCCCAAGTAGAGGTGCACACACACACAACAATAAACCACGAATTGGGAATTATAATAATTATAGTTCGTCATTGTGGGTTCACCTGTAGCCAATTTCAACATGTTGTGTTCAATGGCATTGGTGCCTTGACATTGAGGATGCTTGCAGCATGAAGACATTTGTCAGATTGATTCTTTCTTATTCTTCCTCACCACATATTGTAACCAAGGCAATCACAATCAACTCGGGTTGGTGGTTTCAAGCCCCCTGGGACATATCATTTGAGGTGAATGCAAAACATAATAAACATTAATAAACATGGTTTTCAAATCAAACCATCAACATCCACAAACCATCCTGAGATCGTGCACCACGTCTTCGTCCAGAATTTGAACATCCCCTGAGATCTTGGCAGTGCAACTGCCGTAGCCATAGGTGAGAAAATCTGCGGGAGCAACCTGCGGATTTTCATCATGCACACCATGGTAATATCCAAAAATGGCCAATCTGAGATACACTGCTTACCTTCTGTCAAACTAACGTAACCAAGAGAACATCACCATTTTTTTGGGTAGATCAACTATAAATGGCAATGTTCAATAGTTATGTTAAATTGTCAAGAAATTGTCAGAGGGTAAGGAAGTGTCTGAGCCCACGACGACAGGAGGAGTGGAACCCGAAGCAAAAGGTCCCAACTCCTACAGCGGAAGTTGTAGCTTTTTACTGTTGGATACCCTCTGGTAAACTAACATAGCTATTGAAAATGGCTATTTATAGTGGATTTTCCCATTAAAAATGGTGATTTTCCATAGCTATGTTAGTTTACCAGAGGGTACATGGCGTATCATGGCGTTCTTTTTTGTGTTTCCGAATTTCCTGTTCATCATGCAAAGCTTCCGGGACCCATGGATCGCTGGGCTGTTGGCATAGCTCCCAATGGACTTGCCACTGTAGCCCGGCCACCTGGGTCTTCCAAAAAACCATGGCACGGGGATGGTGGTGTACCCCATTGTTAGTAGAGACATATCAAGCCACAGGATCCACCATCCCCGTTTTTACATCTACCATGGCACTATGGCTGGTATGACTCACAGCTTTCCTCAGATTTTTCCAGAGAAAAACGTCCACTGGGTCCATCAAGCCACGTCCACTTGATGCCACTGGGCCTGAAAGCGGTCCAGTTCATGAGTCTCACATTCTCAGTGATCAAGGCGTCCACCTGGGCGCCATGGCGCCATGAAGGCCGTTGATCCATAGTTGCCATAGTTCAAGGAACCCATCATTCGAAAGGATGGTTTAAAAAATCATGGTTTATCATGGTTTATAAAATCATGGTTGAATAAAATGACCAAGTTCTTCACATACATTTTCTTGAATGGTTCGATGATGCTTTCATTTTCTCAATTCTGTGGATGTTCTTTCAGCAACTTCCCTACAAACTTATCATCTATGCCGCGGCCCAGCTCCCCGGTCACTGTCTTGGTGGCTCACTACTTCTTGGCCTCAGCGATTGTGCAAAGATGAGAACTACCACCGCCCAAAGAGAGGCTGCCAAATCCATAGCAAAACTTCAACCAGAAGGGCTTGGTATGAGGAGAGTCTGCGACTTACCACCAACTCCGTTGGAAGTGTTTTTCTTGGTGATGACAGACAGATTCAATCAGATTTTCATACAGTTTTGATCAGTTTTGGGCACATTTTTGGTGTCTTCTAAAGGTTCAGCGCTTCAGCCGTGTCCATTCAACTGGGCCCTGCACTGGTCTTGAGCCCCTCAACCAATCGAAAGAACTTGGCGAAGAAAGGCGGTCGCCAATTCGTTCCTCATCAGAGGTTCAAAGCTTCTACTGGTAGGTGGTTGAACCACCTATCCGTGAAATGTCGGCCAGTTTTTAGCATGAAATTCACAGTGTAGTACACACACACACACATATATATATATATATAAATAAATAGATATCAACAATAAACCACCCAAAATGGTTGTCACAACATCCCCAAACGGTAGTCGTTCATGGGCTTCCACCGAGGACTTGACTCGCTTCATGGTAGCTGGCATAGGGAAGGAAGTAGGGATAGACCACTTCCATTGGCGGCCTGGCCGAACACTGACATATGTAGCACTATGTGAGATTTATGCTACTATACCCAGAAGCCCACACCTTACCATCCATCCATCCATCTACCTATCTATGCATCTACCTATCTATGCATCTACCTACCATTTATCTACCTATCTATCTATGCATCTATCTATCTTGCCAGGTAGATCCATCTGTATACGAAGCACTCCTCAGCACTCCGCCATTGTTCTCGGCAGCTCTGCCTGGGCCAAAGGGAGGAGGCATTCCAAGCCTCAGCGATGAATGCCTGCTGTTGGGTTTGGTGTTTGCGGGGTTATCTCACCCACTTATAAATAAGGGACTTACTAACCAGAGCTTCTTTTAGCAGTGACTCAGTGGTATAATTATCCAAGAAAACATTAAAATTAATTTTTCAACAGAACATCCATTGGGATTTTTCGCAATGTATTTTTTCCTTCCTGTCAATTTCCTCTTCGGGGGATTTCCCATCCATGGCAACGATGACACCGCCTCCGGTAATCCAACCAAATTCCATGGCAACATCTATTAAATCCCTATGTAACCTGTATGTATGTATATATATATATGTAACGATATTCCCACGCACATAAACTACATTAACTATAATTAACATGAACCACTCTAATTAATATGTTGACATCCATTAATATCATTAATATTCCATTATAGTGTTGCATGCTAATTATGTTCTTTTATATTCCATTGGATTCCATTATGCAATTATTTTCCATTAGTTAGTTCATATTCCAGTATATGATTAATATGAGAAGCCACCAATATTACAGTAATATTCCCAAGTTGAACATTTATTGGAACAGTCATATTCGCTTAATATTCCATTTAATATGATTAACATTGATTAACATTCCACCAATATCACCATAATGCTACCATTGTTGTTGGTTACATCCCTATGTAGCTAATATGTAAGTAATCTTAATAAACCCCTATCGTTTTAAATGCTATAGTACTGTAATATCAAACTATGTATATATATATATATTATATTTGATTGAACCACACACACACACATATATATATACATATCCCATAGTTGCAACCATTCAGTTCATCCATTGGCACTCCATGAATATTCCATTGACATTACCATTAAACCACCATTGTTGTTGCTTAAATCTCTATGCAACGAATCTGAAACTAAGATCTAAATCCTTGTTGAACCACTATAGTAATATGTAACTATATATGGTTTAATATGTATATCTGGGCAAATTATTAAAATTTCACAAACCTGAAATATTTAGGGATGATTCCCCGAATCCTAACCATCATTCCAGGCTTCGGTCGCAGTGAGGTCGTTATAATTTATCCATTATTGTTTAATAAATATATATATATATGCACATATATATGTATATATATATATATATCATAGGTTTTTTTTTGGGGGGGTACCATATATATATATATACATATATATATATATATATATGTGTGTGTGTGTATATCCCAAGAGTACCATTCACCCCATAGCTGGAAGAATCCCCCACTTGGCTTCCCATACCATCAGCGCAAAGGCCAGGTTATCATCCAACATCGAGGTGCCCTCCACTGACACCGCGCCTGGTGACTGAGGCAAACATCGCGTTAAAACATCGTTAAAACATGTGGATTTACTAGCAAACATAGTGACTTAACTGACAAACACAGAGTTTTTTGAGACCAGAGTTTAGATTTTTTCTTTTTTGGTGAATGTTGATTGACCACCCTCACACTTGCTTGTCCGGCTTATCCATATTTTCTTCCTTGGTGGTGTTGATCTGCTAAAGATTGACAACTAATTTTCAGAGACCGTTGACGCTTTACTGATAATGAGTGATAAACTCAAATTGAAAACAGAACCGTATGCATTTAATCATTTTTTGTAATGTAAATAGCTGATTTATTTAATCCCTCATGGGGGATACTCAACGTAACCAATGTTGTGATAATGAATGGGGATAGCAAGAAACCATCCCAATAACCAACCACAAAAGGGGCTTCATAATCGACATCATCTCATTTTTACGAATTTCTAGGGCATACGTCAATTTCATAAACACAAATTGGGGATGACTTGTTGTTGGTTTCACAGGTTGCCTCCCACTTCCATGTGACTTGGAGCTACTTGACTTGTGATCGTATATATATATATATACCGTAAGTAGCTTATGGGAATGACATATTCCCATAGTAATGCCCAAAAAGATAGACGTTGGTAAAATCTTACTAAAATTGCCAAAATAGTGGAAACTTGCTTTTCCACCTTTTTGAAGCTTACTACAAGTATGCCACCCCCTATTTGGAAGAGGCTTTGTCAGTCAGTTTAGATTGGGGTAGGTTTCGGAATTTGGACCCAGAAGTACTAACAAAATCTAACAAACATATCATGAATGAAATTGCATGAAGACATATATTTCAGATGTCTACCCTCTGGTAAACTAACATAGCTATTGAAAATGGCCATCTATAGTGGATTTACCCATTAAACATGGTGATTTTCCATAGCTATGTTAGTTTACCAGATGTCTATTCCCCATTTAAATGGTGCAGTCGTTTCGTGGCACCAACATCTGTGAATCCGATGGATTGAAGTGTCAAAATTTTGATCATCTTAGGATGGATGATGGCCCGTACGGCCGTAAATATGTGTATTTAAAGTCAACATGAGAAAACATGAGGACATCAGAAATTTTTGTATATTTTTGTTGTGATCCACTGATTCAATCTGATTCAAGTGTTTTTTGCCTGGATTTTTCTCGATGTTCCCTCAAGAACTGCTTTTTTTTCCCTATCAGGCACACCATGTGATGCATCCTGGTTTACCGACACCAACAAGAACAGACATATATGCTGTATGTAATATGATTCGATGCGGCCCCGTAACGGAAACGACACCACCTCCTCCCACCGCGCATCTGACAGATGGCCTGGAAGGAACTGCAAATCAAAGCTGGGCATGTGACTCAGCAAATACTGCCTGACGGCACCAAATTGGAGCTGCTGAAATGCGGTTTGGCACTGAGATCTCCGATATAGGTGAGTTTACCGCTAGCCACAATGACATAAATTGACTTAAAGTGATGGATACTGGATGAGAATGGCGGGGGAAGGCCCTTGGGGATCCTTTGGGTGGTTAGTATCGCAAAAATGAACCATGACACTATAGCATTGTCTCCATTTGTTTCCGTGCTATTGATCGGGTGCAGGAGGGGAACCACGAAATACTTGGTACATTTTGAGACCACCAGCCGGGTGAGCTCATTGCTCCCTGGCTCTTCAGCTCCCCTCATATCCCCGGCCACCTAGCTATGCCTGTCCAGCACCCTCCGGAAAACAAACATGGTAATGGAAAATCATGGATTTTCCAATCATATCCGTATTTTGCTTAGCGGAATGTATTTGCTTTTCGCCATCTGGATCCTAGAATTGGAGGGAACACCATATGGATCACTGCCTTGCAGAGCACCAGGACAGTTCTTTCGGGGTCGCCTGTGGAAAGCGCTCCTTAAGACACAATGTGGTGCTGGAGGCGTGCTGGTGACGGAGCCACTCCGCAACATATTGAGCCAACCAAAGCTGGAAGGGGGTCCTATATGGAAATTGTCCGTTCAACCACTTCTGGGAAGCTGGTCAATTGATTGGTCTTGAGAGAAACATGTTGCAGAAATTAGACACATGGCTTCTGCCACTCGAAATATGATGGTTTCTTGAAGGATTCTTCATTGAACATCCGAAGTTCATGATACCAGTCATGGGGATGCGAGTAGTCATGAGAGATATATCATGAAATAGGGTGGCTCTAAACGAAAAGAGAAGTCTGACCAATAATCATTATAACATTTTTTTTGCCAGGGTAGTTCTTATGGCAAGCTGTCGCTTCTTGGCATCAAAGCAGCCACAAATCACAAGCCGCTGCAAGCAGGACTGGTGCTACACTTTGACAGGTGCTTCTAGAGCCTGAAATTGACGTGGACCAACTAATTCTTTCGTAAGATGATTTTCCTTTTGGAAGTGGTCACTTTTTGGGTTCCATCGCAAAATTTCCAGTGTGTCTATTCCCAATTCTTCAACCCCCACATTCCACTGGAAGTGGAATAGCATATTTGGTGATAGCATCCTAACTTCTTATCTTTTTCACACTTATATATATATATATATCCAATTTTTTCAGGCTCAAATCCCAATAATGTCTCAATTTTTTTAAGTAGGGGCAAGCTGCAAATTCGCGCCAAGAAGCTCCGGAGAGCCTTTCCAAGCAAATGACTTGAACTTCATCAGCCAAATGACAGCTGCAGCCCTGCGGGTCAGCCAGGGCAGGTTAAACCTGGTGGAATGCAGTGGTTAAACCTGGATTATTATATTTGGAACATGTTATGGAATGGTGACCAAGTATACTATAATAATGGATAATAATGGTTGTTATATACTTCAGGTGTATGGTTATATAATTTCCAAGTTGTTATATAACATGATCATAATGGTTGTTAATTGTTGTTATTATTATAAGATGATCAAGTTCAATCTATTAATGTGACTTCATTAGGCAGGGATGATTGTGGATTATTGCTTCTGGATCTGCACGCATTGGCATTGCGAAAGGCAACCCATGCCATTTAACGATCTTGACCCTTTGGGTGTCCAATATTTCTGGGCAAGGTATGGCAATTTATTCATACACAAACCTGAAAAAGACTGGCCCATTTTGGGATGCTCCTCATACGTTCTCATCTAGGTTGACATCGCTGCGAAACAGCCAAATTCGATAGAATTCTGCATGAAATCACTATCAAATTCCATTAGATGATCAAACAAAATCCCTCTAAATCACTATAAAATACTATAGTTTCCCATGAGTCACTATAGAATCCCATTCACTAACTATCAAATCCCATTAATTCAATGTAAAATCCCATGAAATCACTATAAATTCCCATGTAAAATGCAGCACTTCTTTGTCTGCTGCAAGGTCCTCGCCTGCATCTGTTCACGGATCCACCCTGGATACCTGGCATGTCTCGAGCGGTGCTCGGGCTTCACTGCTGGCCGGTGATTTTTCCTCAAAAATGCTGATAGGTTGCAATAAGTCAAGTTTTAGGCTGCAATAAAACACTAACCATTAATTACCCTCTGGTAATGACTAACAGTTTGCTATTGAAGCCATGCCCATAGAAATAGTGGATTTACCCATTGATAGCATGGTGATTTTCCATAGTTACGTTAGTTTACCAGGCCGGGTAACCCAAAGCACAGTTTCTCCAGAGCACCCAACTTATGGAGCTCAAGATCCAACACTGAAACCCTCAAAAAATAGCTCCTGATCCCAGCCTGAAGCTATCATGACCAAACTCTTTCAGCCAGTCCTGCCCGGGATTTCAAGTGATTTCCATTCAATTGGCACATCTGCCAAGTTCAAAAACATGCTTGGTGGTTTCAAGCCATCCGAAAGATATTGGCCAATGTGGGATCATCACAAATAGGATGGAAAATCCCAGATGGAAAGGCACAACATTTGAAACTACCAGCAATAATCCCAACATGTACACACTAGTAGTCTCTGCCAATTGTATTCCTTACCCAATTGGATTCTACATCCCCATGTGTTGGGGGTGAACCCTAACATCATCGCGGCAATCCATCCTTCCACTGCTGTGACCAGCAGGGCTCGAAGAACAGCAGCGCCCAGCAAGTGCGGAAGAACATGGCGTTCAGATACCCACTGGCTGAATATCTCGGAATGGATCTTCAAAGGATTATACTGGACATCTCTATCTATCTATCTACTATCTATCTATCTATCTATCTATCTATCTATCTAGATATATATATATACACATACACATACTGATATCTAAACATATATATATACATACTGCATATATAAATACGATTAAATGCGTATATACGTATATACGTATAGATTTGGGATTCCCATTTTTTCCCCTACATGTATTTGTTGAGGATACTTACAACATTTTACAACCTTATTTCTCAGCCCATTATTTGGGATTTCACCCACAAAGATGGGTGATCAGAGGTCATGGGGATTCATGGGGCATCACATGATTCAAATGGCTAACTTTAAGCTCAGATCTTGGCTGTCGAAGTCATTTATCACTCACGTGCTGAATGAGTAATTTTCCCTAAGCAACCAACTTACCCTCTGGTGAACTAACATAACTATGGAAAATCACCATTCTTAATGGGAAAATCCACTAAAATAGCCATTTTCCATTGCTATGTTAGTTCACCAGAGGGTACCCACCTATTGGCTGTTGAATATGTTGAATGGGGATGCTCCCTTTATTCATGAACCAATGGACAAAGGACATCATGGTCTTTCAGGGCGGTTCTGACGGCTCAAGACAGGGACCTCCAAGATCTCCCCGAGTCAACCCAAATCAAGCCTCTGTGAGCATTTTTTTTACAATCAACCCATACAATCCAACAAAAACCCATCTAAATCCATATAAAACCACACAAATCCATATAAACCCAAATAAATCGCCAAAGCATCCCAACATATCCCACTATGAATAATTCCGGTGAATCCTTTTGAACATCTCCAAGATGAAAATTTGAGCGATCGCTCGGGTGTTTTTTTTCGCGGCTTGAGATCCATCAAGGACTTCAAATCTAATTGCTCTATATTGCTCTTATCACAACCATCACCAGTCATGCCTTTCCTGGAATCGACTTCAGGGTGAAGTGAGAATTCATATCATATCGAAGCTCAAACCATACTGGTACTGGTCACGCAATTGGATAGTTTGGGTAGTTTGATACTGAAAATGCCCAGTTAATTCGTGATTCCATCAGCCAACAGGACTGGAGTTGCATGATCCGGTGCTTCGCCTCATCTTTGATGAGCCAAGCACATCCTCTGAAATTCCGAAATAAAAACCTCTCAACTTCGGTTGCAGCTGAAGTTACACACAACAAATCACAATCTGTGACTATCTTCTCTCATGCAATTCTGAAACCGATGACCAAGAGTTTAAAATCTCGTTGCTCTTTGAGCGTCCCTAAGCAGCTCATTCCTGCCCATGATTGGAAAACCAGCGAACGATTGCTGAGGCCTAACCAGGTCGAAGTGAAACTTAAAAGTCTGCTGTTTTGGTCAGCAGCCTCCGACGATTGCAAGGATGTCAAGTTTGAAGCAAACATCCATCTCTCTCTCGCTCTCTCATCGATTTTTTCGGGTTTGAAAAGTGCTGAAGTTGCTAAGGTTTCTTCTGGTTCATTCTGGTTTCATGGCATCTTGCATTTTCTCACTAATTCGTGGGAAAACCCCGGCGAAAACCTTAAAGCATTCATCACCTGGGTCCACTAGGATTCCTTGGATTCCAGGAGCTTCTTGTCATTTTCACCAAAAATCAAAAAACTGTTCCTTGGACTCCATGGGCCCAGCTCTGTCAACATGACTTGGACGTCCTCTTCCCGACCTCGGACGTCGGTGGTTGGGCATATGCGTATATTGTAAATATTTGTGTAATTATATGCGCATGCATTCTCATATATTCATATATGCATATAAACATGCAGACACACAAATAGGCAAACGTATTCCATAAATACATAAACACACACACACATATATATATATATATGTATATACATATCATGATAGTATACCTACACACACACACAAATATCCTGCCAGCCCGGGTGCGTTTTTTCAGCCGTAGGCATGAACATGTAAATACATACCCGCACGCTTGCACATATATATTTATGCATAGATAGCATGATAATTACATGTTATAACACACACACACATATATATATATATGTACATAATATGTATGTATGTATGTATGGATGGATGGATTGATGGATGGATGGATGGATGAATGTCTGTGTATGGATCATGCATGCATGTATGTAGGTCTGTGCGTGTATGTATGTGTATCTATGTGTACGTATGTGTATGTATCTGTATGTGCGTGTATGTATGTGTATGTAAATGTATATATATATATGTATATGTAAATGGATGTACTGTATGTATATGTATATGTATATGTATATGATTATGTATATGATTATGTATATGATTATATGATTATATGTATATGTATATGTATATGTATATGTATATGATTAAATGTATATGTATATGTATATGTATGTGTATATGTATGTATACTCTAAATGCGCACTGATTTCGACAATTTTTGGACAAAAATGATGATGAATATACCACGCAGGCCACGTTCTGTCTTTCCCATTTTGATGCGATGACACATGTTATGCGGGCAGAGCCTATTCCAAACGATGTTAAATTTCACATAATTCTCGGACAAAATTGGATGAAAACACAAGCGAAATTTGTGTTTTTTTCAAAACCACCAGCCAAATTCCACATCATTTTGTGCATGCTACACAAAAATCCTTCATTTTTTCCCACACGAAATACAAACGAAATACACTTGAAGTGGACCTGATGATAATGAAATTGTGCAAAACGCACGTACGGAAAACGGCGCGACGGGATGTATATGTATATGTATATGTGTATATCTGTATATCTGTATATGTGTGTTTGTATGTGTATGTGTATGTGTATGTGTATGTGTATGTGTATGTGTATGTGTATGTGTATGTGTATGTGTGTGTGTATGTGTATGTGTATGTGTGTGTATGTGTGTGTATGTGTATGTGTATGTGTATGTGTATGTGTATGTGTATGTGTGTGTGTGTGTGTGTCTGTATGTATGTATGTATGTATGTATGTATGTATGTATGTATGTATGTATGTATGTATGTATGTATGTATGTATGTATGTATGTATGTATGTATATGTAGGTATATGTAGGTATATGTACGTATATTATGTACATGTATGTATATGTACGTATATGTATGTACATGTATGTATATGTATCTATATGTATATCTATACTATATGTATGAAGACAGCGGAGCTCATCGCTGGTTGGGGGTTTGTTGAGCCATGTTAAGCCACCCATCCCACAAAACACTGAATCATATGTATGAAAATGTATGTGTATATGTATATGCATATGTACATGTAGTGTAGTGTAGCGTAGTGGTGTGGTGTGGTGTAGTGTAATGGTGTGGTGTAGTGCAGTGTAATGTAATGTATGTATATGTGTGTGTATCGATGGATGGATGGATGGATGGATGGATGAATGGATGGATGGATGGATGGCTGTATGGATGGATACATGCATGTATGGAGGTATGCAGCTATACATGTACGTATGTATTCGTCAATACCTTCAAGAATATACGCACATGGTGTCAAATGAATGACACGCATTTTGGGTGCTTCAAGATCTTTCACATTTCCAAATCCAGCGTACATCAGGTAAATGTGGGGCATGAAACCGAAGCGATCTGCCCTTTCAGAGGGCCATTCCAAGCCCCAATTTTTAGTGCTTAGATGTGCTAAACGCATACCTCCAAGGCCCCAAGGAGCTTTTAAAATGAGTGGATCCACCATCAATTTCCATCAAAATCCTCCTCGCCTTGAGGGATGTCTAGAGATGGGGCCACGTGACGCGTCACGCCAAGTTGGGTTGCCCGGTGGTGGTCATGAGACGCTCGAAGACGCGGCCCGTCAACTCCACCTGAAGCGATTCTGTTGCGTGACAGGAAAGGTCAGATTAGGTGAGAATGGCTATCCAATCACATCGAACTTGATACGGGCTAATGGATGTGGTTAACTATTTACTAACCCTTTCATCCATCAATATTGTTGATCATTTTTTTGGTTAGTTATCTGAGTATCATTGTTATCTGGATGCTGGATATACCAGCCAAATGGGTTTTCACAGTTTGGCCAATCAAGGATCAAGGATCAGCCGCAGTTGGGGCAGATGGACTTTGATGGACCCACCCGTTGGAAAAACAATCCTGTTGAACTCCCAACGGATCAGCGGAAGGCTACCCTCTGGTAAACCAACATAGCTATTGAAAATGACCATTTATAGTGGATTTTCCCATTGAAAATGGTGATTTTCCATAGTTATGTTAGTTTACCAGAGGGTACTGAAGGCTCATTGTTAGTGTCCAGGAAAATATATTCATGCACTCTGGTACAAAAAAAACATCCCCCTTGATGGCAAAGTCAAAGCCAAACTATTTATAAAGCATTATAAAACCATTGGACTACCTTTCACCAAATCTTGCCCAGCCACTGTCAACCACCAGGCCGCCCCATCAACTCATGAACATCCCAGCTTGGGTACCTACCGCCCGTCAGCTTAGCTGTTGGGTGAGGAAACTGCCCTGCCTTACGCGCTCCTTTGTCAACGATGGAGTGGATTGGGAGCATCACGTACCTCTCGTCCACCTTTCCAACACTGATGCCGGTGTAGCCAGCCTAAGGTGTCACACGAATTGAACAGTCCTGCGCGGTTGAAAACCACCATCTTCCTATGAAACTTTGGGTTGATAAAGAAAACACGCCACATAAATTCGCCCCTCCCACCCTTTCAAGGGGCATGGTGTGGCTCCCTCAAACCATGCATCTATTGTAAGGGTTTGGGCCCCCATTCCACGCCAGCCTTCTCCTTCCAAATGGTCCATCTGGGCCCCCATTCCATCCCATTCCATCCCATGCGCTTCTCATCACTTTCTACATTGAAATTGCAAGTTGGGCTTGACCTCCCATTTTGAGACATACTCATGTGGCTTATTCGATGGTGAAATCTCTGATCTTGATGAGCACGGTGGATGGTTGCAAAATCCTGCACCACCGAAAGGATGGTTGAAATCCTATAAATAGTGGGATAAACAACTTATCAACTGGTGCAGGATTTCTTCCATCCACAGTATGTCATATACGGACTATCCCAATACATCCCTATCCCAATAGTACCATCCCTATATGATTTCCATTATACCTCGGTATCTCCCATCCCAAACAAGACATACTGTATATATATATATATATGTATATATATATATGTGTGTGATTATATATGTATATACATATATATCCCCAAAAAACACTGATTTTTTGAAGCTATAACTTTCTTCTGTCAGCATAGCAAGTTCGAAACTTCGCCAGGTCGCCAGTGCCGCATGCACGGCCATCTGCGCTAAGACCGAGCAGTAGATGCTGTCAAAGGCGTTGGCCGGAACGGCTCGGATCATGTAAGTTGGATCGATGTACCTGTCGTGATTGAAGCTGACTAAAAGGGATGCAGGTTTTATGGAAAAAAAGCCCAGGTTGTTACTTTATGTTACTTGATCTATTTTCATGGATGGACATGGGATGATTATCCCAAGCATCATAGGCTATAAATGCTTGTAAATGCTTGCAAATGCTTATTAAGATTATAGAAGTATATTAATTTAATAGTATATTATATATAATTAAGTTATAGTCCACAAAGTGGGATGCACATCGAAGATGACCAAGATGTTGGGGGCAAACCAAGGCCAAAAAAATTAGCCATGGCGGGGCAGAGTGTTTTTGGTCGCGAACATTTCCAGAAGGTTTTCTGCCATGCTCTGCCATTAGCAAATTTCCAGTCTATACGACATCTACATTGAGCTCCTCACCATTTGCGAGGAGCTAGGCCGGGTTCTGATTTGATGCAAGGGTCTCGTGTCAGACAGTGCAGCAACAACAGCAGAATCATCTACCGCCCAGTGTCAATTGAAAAAAGGGGACACATTGACGAGCCATCACTGAGACCGCTCCGAATCCTGGTAAAGAGGTGTTCAACTCTTTGATACCTCAAGAATTCGAGAGAATATTTAAAAAAACTCCTCAAGATGTCTCTGACATCCCGCTGAGTCATGGGGCCCATGGGGCTACCTGCTAAGATCTGCTAGCATCTTCTAGCATCTGCTAACATCTCTAGACTTTCACGGTGCAATCTTCTTCTATGCCCGTCACCGCTCCGTCAGTGATATCAAAGAAGTCATTCTCCCTGGACGTCCCGCCAGTCGTGCCAGGTGACATGTAGTCCTCATCCTCAGGGATGAGGCTCACGTCTCCAAAGACTTCTGAAGGTTCCACTAGACATCGACTCCGTGCATCCAGCCACAAGGTCACTTCAATGTGAGCATCGAGCTCCTTGGGATGCGCGTGCTCCAGACTTTTGGACTTCAGCAACAGTTTGATGCCTTGGCAAGGACAGAAGTTCAAGTTGACAAACCGAACAATCCAGAATCTTCCCAATTTTCTGGAGGAAATCAAATGGCATGAGAAATCAAAGATGATTTCGCTTGGGGATTAAACATTTCCTGCCAGGAAGATTCTTGGTAGACTAATGTGGCATCCATACAAATTACGTTCAAGTTCAATACGCCAGAAACTGGGGATAGTGACTTTTACCATCATGGACCCCCCATCAATGGACTCTTCAACTTTTTCTGCACTGAGGTGCCGCCCAATAAACTAACATAGATGTGGAAAACCCAAACTGTGTGTAGATATAGCTATATATATATATACACATATATGTATATATATATATATATGTACAGAGATCATTTTCGGCACGGGAAACCATGGCTCTTACACATCTTTTGCATGTTTACCCGCAGAAACCATGGTTCAATAGGGATGAAATCACATATTTGGGACCACCATTAACGGGGCTGGTTAGTGTTAGTTTGGATGGGGAGTGGGATTATTAAACCAAAAAACCATGTTATTGAACATGTCAGTAACCTGTTGAACATCTATATTGTTTTACCCCAGGGATTCCCAGTTTTTTTTTTAAATCATTTAAAATCCCCCTGGATAGTCCAGATTTTTTTTGTAGGTCCAATGATTCGGGTTTCCGGTAATCATAATTATAACTATTGTAATTATAAAAAATGATACTTGGTAATTAGTAGTTATGGTAATTGTCCATTTGGTTATTAGTATAACTTAACCATGGTATAAGTAGTAATTATGGTAATCAAGAATTGGTACTTGGCAATTAGTAATTACCATTATGCTTTCTGGCAATGTCTATTTAGTTCTAGTTCTATTTTACTCGATTGAAAGCCACGCGCTTGCTATAAGTCTATAAGTACATAAATTACACTTATTGTTCATTCTTGGACAATGGCTGACACTCCAACGGTTGGTGTTTTTTGAGTGTATATGTCACCAACTAACAGATGGAAACAATAAATAGTTGCACTCCAACTAACATATTCCACTGCGTTTCTTTATAGTTTTTGGATCGTATAAACCATCAATGGCAAGCGATTATTGCCTGCTGCAGCCTGCTGTGATTACATCTGGTAATTACATGTAATTACAACTATTGTCATTTTTGGTAATTCATAATAACTATAATAACAACTACAGTATAATCAACTATAACAAGTATCAACTATAACAAGTACTATAATCAACTATGGATAACAAGTACTATAATCAACTATAGATAACAAGTAATTAACAAGTACTATAATCAACTAGAATAAGATATAATAAGTACAACCATTGGCATCGCCGTGGTGCCGTTGAATTTCTGATTCTCCCAGGCCAGCAAGCCCCGCAGATGCTTCAGCGCTTTCGCCAGCTCAGCGCTGCAGCGCTGGCGCCGGTACTTGTGAAGCATCCAATGCCCGGTGAAGCACAGCAGGGGACCAACCGCTGGAAGCATGTAACCCAACATTTCATCGCAATCTTCCTGGAAAATGATGAGAAAATGATGAGGACATGGATGGAATCCATGGGGTTTTCATGGGATGGAACTCAAGCAAATACTTACGCAACATCTTGCAACCGGTCAAGAATGATAGGTCAAGGGGTATTAATTAGGTGTATTATATATTTATGTGATTGTATATGTAATATTATTAATGTAATTGTATGTGGCAAAATTAAAGGGCATTATATGGCCTTGAGGTGTGATCCATTTTACCAGTGTGAAACTTAGACCGGGCCAAATGGGAATTCCATTAAAAATTGAGAGAAGTGACGTGCCTGAGGATTTCACAACGGGCCCCGGATCCTGGATGTGAATCAGTAAGAGCACAAAATACGAGAACAGGCTCAGCACCAAAATACAGCTGCTGACTAAGGTGAGGTATCGAAGTCGCCTGGTGACCATATAGACCTGCAGCAAAACATTGTCCACGTGAGACTTCATGGATGCGTATCGCGGCAGGGAAATGTAGCTGTGAAGTCCCTTTGGCAGCTCTTGGAGCACCATGGGCAAGCGATCCATGCGGTGTTGATGCACAATCTTCAGATTATATCGGCACATACGAAGATTCGTCGTGTCCATTGTGCCCGAGAGACTGCTGGTGCACTGAACACCACCCGAAAAGGTTACCCATCTGTTATAGGAACCGAGACCTTGCGGAAACGCGCAGCTCTGGGTGTGTCTGAACATGCATCCCAGTATCCCCCCAAATATGGCTGCTATTGGCTGCTTAAGGTGAAATTTATGATGAAGCAGTGAAGTGTTGAAGAACGTCGTAGCGAGATTGAACTGAACATCACCACTTGTATCCGTTTGTGACATGTGTTGTGACCATTTCAGGTGTTGCGGGGCGAACATGTAGAATTGAATCTAACTAGTGCCCAGTACATGAATGCGGCCTGCCCCTTCTTGGGAATTCATATGCATGGGCGCCCGGGTCACTTGATGGTGCATGGCATCTTTAAGCTCTTCATGTGCTTTGTGATGGCATCCTTCAAGAATGGGCCTGGGCGTGGTACAGGTAGAGACTTTGACTTTTTTGGGTGCCCGATAGTGGCACTCTGCTAGAGGAAAGTCATTGAAGTATCATTAAAGTAATTGCAAATAAATGCCAATCACAGATCAGTGAAGTTGCATTGGCACCCTTCAAGTGTTTCTTCGCATGTTTTCTTGAAACTCTGGAACACGTGACCCCATGGGGTGGAGCATAATTCTACTGACCTGTGGTTGATTTTGCTACTTTCAACATTTCCACGTTTGTTGAGGTCTCCGTACTTCTTTGTGGATGAAAAGTATGAAATGAACATCCACCAAGAATTGCTCTGATTCAAACTATGTCTGAGGGGTACAGCATTTGCTGCTGAGCTCTTTCACTATATATATATATATCTATATAATCCCCTCAAAACTTATTAGGCAAATTTACCGCCTACAAAGGTCGTTTTGGTCTTTTTGTCAGCTTTCAATTCCGTCAAGAATTCTTAAGGTCTTCCTGCCCCTAAAAATGAACCAATCACCCAACTATGGTTTCCTTACCCTCTGGTTATTCAACATAGCCATGGAAATGGCCCATTTATAGATGGTTTACCTATTGAAAATGAGATATAATGTAACAAATAACCAGATGGTAAACGTTTCCACAATGAGTTAAAACTCAGCTGGCTCATAGCCCGCCCAAGACGCCCAGGCGCCTACATCGGCAAGTACCTTGTTGCCGCCAGCATCAGTGCCTGCACCGCTGCTGATGATGGTATCACCACAGCCTCGGCTGTTTGGGTGACAGTGTGGCTGAGGGTCCAAGCAAAAACATTGCATGATATAGCACTATATATAGCTACGTACGTATAGTGTGCTATAGTCTAGTCAGTTTGGTCATGTATACCCCCTTTTCCATTGCTTGGTTGATTAATAGAGTAGTCATTCCCATTAAACAGCCAATAGGTGAGTGATGATAAATGGTTCCAAGCCAACCCATCTATTTTCCCAAAAGGACACCATTGGTGACCCTTCCCCAAGTTAACCTAGACCCTGAACATATCAATATTCCAAGATTAAACGTAAAATATCTTTAAAAAATTAAAATCATACTGTATACCCAGGAAACCTCCCATTTTTGGAAGATGCAAAATAAATTGGAAGATATTGGAAGATGCAAAATAAAGAAACATCAGGGTATGCTTTGAAAAAGCAGCCTACTTTGCACGGCCCAAATGTGGGACAGGTTATATTTGGAAGATGAATTCACACCCAGAAGAATACCTTGACGAATGCCATGCCGGAACAGATTCATAATTAACAGGGGCGGAATAAGGTAGCAATATGTAGCAATGGTATGAACAACAAGAGATAATCGCCTTCACTTGCAAAAATCTGTGACAACAAGCTGTGAAAAAAAAACCGTGAACGTGGAAAACTGGGTTTCAAAGATTATTTTCCGTGGGGATAAGACCAGGATTGACCAGGTCAGGTCGGATTTCAGGAGAGCACTTCACCGGAAGGTCCATCAACTGGAGCTACCCCAATCACAAATTCGGTGAGTGGTTGGCGCCCGACTGATAGATAGCCATTTTCATGGCATTTGTGTGTTTTTCGTGCTTCGGTGAGGTGGGGTGGGAGGGGGGGGCAATAACGTTTAAGTACCAGTTGCACATCCAGTCAATACGTTCAGCAGGCACGCGCATAGGTGATCTTCGATAGATCAAGTAAGGTTACAGGGATCATGGCTGATCATGGTGTAGTACGTCAGTAGAATAGTTGTGAAGTTCGTGCGCACGGATCATTTTACGTCATCAGAAGGGCTGTGATTTATGTGCAACCCGCTCTTGATGCTACGCTCTCAATCTTCTTAAGCAAACATTTATTGTCAGCAGCTTTCCACGATGCTTGCATCATGGAATCAAAACACAAGAACATCTGAGAACTTCATAAGCTCCTTTACGGATACTGTTGGCGACAATCCTTAGGTCCACTGAAGCCTGAGGAATTTATGAAAGAAATCTGCAAAGGAGTGAAGGCATGCAAATGCTTCTAAAACAAGGGGAACAAGTGCTTCAGCAACCCCAAGTTGAAGAAATGAAATGCAAACAAATAGTAGTCTTCCAATTTTACAAAAGGATGCAAAAGGCTGTTTTTTTCAGACAACAAGTTTGAAAAGTGGCGTTTCGCTGTGGCGAAAACGACATCTATGTTGATCTGCTCACGAAACCACAAAGCTAATTATGGGTCGGGAACCAAGTAGCTGCCCACCATTCTTGATTCGTGAAATAGTGTTACCCTCTGGTAATTTAACATAACTATGGAAAATCACCATTTTTCATGGGAAAACTCACTATATATGGCCATTTTCAATAGCTATGTTAAATTACCAGAGGGTAACATCCCTGTCTCTTGTCGATTCAACTTGACCCCCGGCCCTCCCAATCCTTCGGCAACGACGATCACGGCGTACTTCTGGCGTTTCATGACCTGCCAAGTGTCGAAACCCAGCTAGCATCCGGTAGCTCAAATGTGGCAATGGGATGAATGGACATAAATGGAGGTTTGAATGGGAAACATTGGGAAACATTGGGAAACACATCTATAAATGGGGGATTGTCCATTGCCATGCTTCATTACCGGTATATTTTTTTCCTGTGGGTGCGACATGGGGTTCAAACATGTTCAAAGCATGAACGCTTGCAGCAGGTTGCTACCCTATGACCCATCCAAGTGGCGCAAACTGGTGCGGTATCTGCCTCCATGAATCACTTGGGTTCTAGATCTGGCATGGTCAAAATTCCCGTTTTCAAATGCAACATCTTCCAAGGCCATTCTTGCAGGTTCCATGTGTAAAACAAAGGCGGAGATATGGAGACATGACACAGCCATATTTGCTAGTTAGTGTGCTTCAGTGAGTCGGACCTCCCCAAACAAATCCCCTAAAATATCAATATCTATCCCAAGGTCAGGTGACCTCAGTGACATAGTCCATCAGCTTTTCCAAGTTGATGTTCATCTCTGGGATGAGGCACACATCTGCATTGCGCCTCGGGTCCCCAACTGTTGCGGGACAGGCGCGCCGGAGGCTCCGCATCGGCGGCGGTTCCAGGCTTATTTTGCAGATTGACCCATGAAGGCATGGACGCAGGACTACATATCACATTATTCACATATTACATATGACATGATCACAAGGTATTGCCAGGGGATAATAAATGTCAGGTGAGGTTCTCTCTCTGGGACATTTGTCTGCCAACCATCCATCTCTCCTCTGTCATCCTGACTTGTCCCCCAAATGTTTAGCATCTTTGGCAAGCATTCCACCATCTTTCTATCCTATCACAATTTTAACCCCTGAACTTGCCTTTCTAAGCCATCAAAAACACAAAAAAACACCTTAAATCATCCAACCCATGCGTCTGACTGAATTCTAATCCTTCACCAGCCACACCTGACTTCTTCAGTGATATTGAGGAGTTTCCCTCATCATCTTGCCCTATGAACAATGTGGTCCAATGACATCCCCTTTGGTTCACCCAGAACTATCTTCCAAATTCTAGGAATACAGAATTCCTCCTTGTCGGGGACTTTCTAATCTTTATAGCACCCAAAAGATAGAACAGTACAGTCCCACTATATCCACTATCCACTAATTGGTGAGTTTCATCTATAGCTTTGCAGCTTTTCCACCAAGTCACGCAGCGATCGAGGCCAATGCCGCGATCCATCCGCAATGCCGACCCATCAACTTGACCAATCCGATGCAGTTGGCGTTGGTCGTTGCTTCCACGTAGGCCGAATCGATGGCCTTCCGCGCCTGGGCGACAGACATAAGGGGACCAGGCTCCCAATGGTCAAGGGACAATTTGACAAATATGCTGGTTTTTTGAGCACCGTAGAGTTTTTCTTGGAGATTTTCAATGCTTGAAGATGCCCCGAAACTCTGTCAGCAAAGGTTCTTGTTTGTAAAAGATAGTGAACATATATGCCGATGCCCGTATATGCCTGTATCATTTGCTGTAACCTTGGCTTTGCCACATTAAATAAGCATGGTTTTGTTTCCATTTTTGCTTGCCAAAGGGCACCCCCTGGTTTTGTAGGTAACCCCCCTATTTTGCTGCAAGTCCTGCTGCTTAAATCACCATATCTTGGTGCCAAAGTCCGAGTATTTTCACTGCTTGGTGGTATACCTACCCCTCTGAAAAATATGAAAGTCAGTTGGGATTATTATTCCCAATATATGGAAAAAACATGTTCCAAACCACCAACCAGTTCAGATTTGTTGGTGGTGAAAGGTCCACTTGCAAGGGCTTCACGCCTCTGTACAGGCAGTGTCGAAGCCGAAGGTCTGGTCCTGCGAAAACCACAGAGATCCTGGGGAAATCTAGGTGATTTGGACACATTGACAACGATTTATATTTGTGCATATCATCATATCTACAACTTGGTTTTATAATGTTTTATATGTATTCTTCTTCTCCTCACTTTCCTCTTTTAAGATAAATACTTTCCAATCGCGTTTCTCAATTCTTTGTGTATACGGATGCGCAACTTCCGAAACCAAAGAACATATGAATAAACTGTTTTTTTTGGATGATTTCCATTACCAACATGAAACCTGTGAAACAGGGTTACTGATGGAAAGGGTATGTAAGGGTTTGATCAGAACCACTAAATGATATATAAATGATGATAAATACATTTGATAAATGGCAATTTCGACGAAACACATTGTGCTTAACATTCAATTTTTGCGTATTACGTCATCCCGCAGTTTTGGACAACACCCAAATTTCCCACCACAATGGCTCCAACCCATCCCAAGAACATGAAAGGCTGGGCAAATTATGACACTTCCCAAAATAGCATCTAAGAATCTAAGCCAATATTTGGGCATGATTCCTGTTATTAACGCTCATCTCGAGCTAGGGTGTGGTTCGCGAGGTTGCTGCAATTTTTGCAGATGGAAAAGCAGAGTTTCCACAGGAATATGATCTACGAATGGCGGATTGTCACTGGATTTTCCATCTATGCTGGTCTAATGAAATTTCAAGAATCATCGTAAAAGGTTGAATGGGGCAACTGCAAAACCCAATTCTCCCAGCAGGAAAGTTGGAATTTTAGTCCTGAACCCAACAAATACCAGAACCCAATATGTATGAAGGTATCTGAGTCAGGCTTCCTGTTGTCTCAAACCTAAAAACATCACTTTCCAGAGGGGCTGGACACTTATGCAACCACAGGAAAAATGTCATTTCGGTTTGTCTAAAAATAAGGCGCCCCTAAACCCAATGGTTAAACACAATTATCCCTGTTAAACGGCATTTTTGCAGGCGTGTAATGGTTTTCATACACCATTTACAAACATACCCATTTGGCTGGACAAAATGGCGAAATACTAGGACGAAAACAAGGACCCGAATTGTGAAACCAGGAGGGTGGGGTTCGGTCCACAAGCGTGATGTCATTGTCAATGGTCTTGGGAACGCCAACCACGGCACACCTTGAGCAACATCGAAATTGTCAACGTAAAAATCCCCCAAAAAATAGACGCAGTAAGGGTCACGATGATTTTGAAGGTCATCAATGATTCAAGAACTATATTTGTCAATCCAGTTTGATGCTGGCAGGCTTCCTATTTCAGCAACATACAACTAAGCCCCTCACTAGTCATTGGGTCTACATTCCAAGCACACCAACATCACGGGCTACACTCATCGACATCTATATGCTGAAGCCTGCATAAGGCTTACCCCAGTCCTGTAGTCAACCCAACAGCCAGGTGAAAGAAACTTAGTTCGAGTACAGTTTACCTTTCTTATCAGCCCAGTAATTCATATACAATTCGGTAATCAGTCACATGGCTTGCTTGAAAATCTCCCATTCAGTTCGATGATTTTCCCAGCTTTTTCTTGCTCCATGGCTAGGCCACGGGGATTTCCCATCGCCATATGACTGATCGACATATGCTTGGATTTGCACCCCGCAAAGTGCGTAACATGTAACAACCACTTTATAATCCAATGATGTTTTTATGCATAGGATATCCATCAGTAATTAATCTAGGTTATCGACCCACCTTTGGATGCAACCCCCACGGTGAGGCACTCGTGGTTGATCTCCGTCATTGAAGTGAATGAGCTCATGGCCTCAACGAAGGATGCGACCACAGGTTTTGACCCAGGCAACCGACGTTTGGAGTAGGGATTTCCTTTTGGTCTTGGCGTGTCCCGAACCCAAGCATGTTTTCATAATTTATCTGCTTAAGCTGCTGATGATTAAGCAACTCACCATGATCTTTTCTTGTCTTTGTCACTTACACACACACACGTCACACACACACACACACGTACTGTATATATATATATACAATTTAGTGTGACTATATCTGATATATCTGATATACCTATCTATCTATCTATCTACCTATCTATCTATCTATCTATCTATACTTGAGAGGGGGAACACGAAAGGTAGGTAAGCAAGAAAGGAACCGAAGAAAAAATGAAGGGGAGAGGGGAGGGAAAAATACATAAAGTGGAGTCTGGTAAAAGCGACGCGGCCATTTTCTTTCCAAAAATATGAAGGGGAGTCTGGTAAAAGCGACTGAAAGGCTTCGGCGATGTGGTTGGGGTTGGTGGTGGTTGTGGTGTTGGTGGTGTTGGTGGTGCTGGTGGTGTTGGTGTTGTTGGTGTTGTTGGTATTGGTGTTGTTGGTGTTGTTGGTGGTGGTAGTGTTTCTGGTGTTGTTAGTGTTGTTAGTGTTGTTGGTGTGGTTGGGGTTGTTGGTGGTGTTGGTGTTGTTGGTCGTGTTGTTGGTGTTGGTATTGTTCGTGTTCGTGTTGTTGTTGTTGTTGTTGCTGTTGCTGTTGCTGTTGCTGCTGCTGCTGTTGATGGTGTTGTTGTTGTTGTTGTTGTTGTGTGTTGTTGTGTGTTGTTGTGTGTTGTTGTGTGTTGTTGTGTGTTGTTGTGTGTTGTTGTGTGTTGTTGTGCGTGTTGTTGTGTGTTGTTGTGTGTTGTTGTGTTGTTGTGTGTTGTTGTGTGTTGTTGTGTGTTGTTGTGTGTTGTTGTGTGTTGTTGTGTGTTGTTGTGTGTTGTTGTGTGTTGTTGTGTGTTGTTGTGGGTTGTTGTGTGTTGTTGTGTGTTGTTGTGTGTTGTTGTGTGTTGTTGTGTGTTGTTGTGTGTTGTTGTGTGTTGTTGTGTGTTGTGGGGTGTTGTTGTGTGTTGTTGTGTGTTGTTGTGTGTTGTTGTGTGTTGTTGTGTGTTGTTGTGTGTTGTTGTGTGTTGTTGTGTGTGGTTGTGTGTTGTTGTGTGTTGTTGTGTGTTGTTGTGTGTTGTTGTGTGTTGTTGTGTGTTGTTGTGTGTTGTTGTGTGTTGTTGTGTGTTGTTGTGTGTTGTTGTGTGTTGTTGGGTGTTGTTGTGTGTTGTTGTGTGTTGTTGTGTGTTGTTGTGTGTTGTTGTGTGTGTTGTGGTGTGTTGTGGTGTGTTGTTGTGTGTTGTTTGTGTTGTTATGTGTGTTGTTGTGTGTTGTTGTGTGTTGTTGTGTGTTGTTGTGTGTTGTTGTGTGTTGTTGTTGCGTTGTTGCGTTGTTGCGTGTTGCGTGTGTTGTTGTGTTTTGTTGTGTGTTGTGGTGTGTTGTTGTGTGTTGTTGTTGTTGTTGTGTGTGTGTGTTGTTGTGTGTGGTTGTGTGTGTGTTGTTGTGTGTTGTTGTGTGTTGTTGTGTGTGTTGTGTGTGTTGTGTGTGTTGTGTGTTTTGTGTGTTGTGTTTTGTGTGTTGTGCGTTGTGCGTTGTGCGTTGTGCATTGTGCATTGTGCATTGTGCATTGTGCATTGTGCGTTGTGCGTTGTGCGTTGTGCATTGTGAATTGTGCATTGTGCATTGTGCATTGTGCGTTGTGCGTTGTGCGTTGTTGTGCGTTGTGCGTTGTGCGTTGTGCGTTGTGCGTTGTGCGTTGTGCGTTGTGCGTTGTGCGTTGTTGTTGTTGTTGTTGTTGTTGTTGTTGTTGTTGTTGTTGTTGTTGTTGTTGTTGTTGTTGTGCGTTGTTGTTGTTGTTGTTGTCGTCGTCGTCGTCGTTGTTGTTGTTGCTGTTGCTGTTGCTGTTGGTGCTGTTGTTGTTGGTGTTACCCCTGCAGCGTTTTTGCTCGGTTCCGTAGTGGCCGAAAATCGTCAAATCGGTTGTGTTTTCGCGTGTTTTTGCAACTCTCGGAGCAAAAAACACCGTAAATACCGATGTTTTTGGCGGGTCGGAAGCCCAAAACCACGGTATTTACGATGTTTTTTGCCTCTGGTAGTAAAAAGCACGGTGTTTACAGTGTTTTTTGGCCAGCACCTAGCAAAAACACTGGTATTTACGGAGGTTTCACCATGTAGCAAAATGTGGTTTCTTGATCCGAAAAGAACAAAAATACTGTAAATTACAGTATTTTGAGTCTGCTCTTAGGGTGCGTGGGAGGTGTGGAGGAGGGGGGGGGGTACTAAAATGACTAGCAATCTCCTGAAGAATCAGGTAACGGGGCTGGCCGCCCTCCCCTTTACTTCGTAAAGTAAAACTCAAGGTAGCCCCTCTGGAGCTACCTTTCGTGATATATATCGATATAATATATATATATATATCTATCTATCTCTCTCTCTCTCTCTCTCTCTTTCTATATATATATATATCATCTAATATATCCAATATATATATATATATCATTAGTTTCAGCAATGACTTTTCTCAACCCTGACTTCAGCAGTCGTGACTGAGGCTCCAGCCCCCTTGTGCGTTCCATCACCTAAGGGGCACACAAGTGGGAACAACGGGAGATTCTTGGGAGCCAGGGGAAAAAACTGTGCAACTCAATCAATCTATTCTAGGAACTGGTGTAGCAATTTGACAAATTGACTGATATCTTGCAATAAATCATGATCATTTCTTTTTTTTCATGTTAAGTCTGAGTATGGTCAAGCTTGGACCCCACCAAAATGGCCAAACTTTGGTAAACTGGGAAGACCCTCAGCTTCCAACCACCCAGAACGAAAAATTGTCGCACGTTTCGGCGTTGCATCACCTGGCGTTGGGAAGATCCGGGAAGGTGAACCCCAAAGCATTGCTGTCTGATCCTTGCGAATTCCATTTGGGGCAGATGTTCACTATATATAATTGATCTGTAATCAATTAATTACTGTATATCTATGTTTGTGTATATCCTTGTGTATCTATCTATCCTCATGGCTGAAGTAGTAACCCCTAGCAGAGCTTTACCCGGAGATGAGGCATTGCACCACTTCATGTGAGCAGCCGGCCCTTCCTTTCCTTCATGGACGGACTTACGTTCCTTTCCTTCATGGACGGACTTACGTCAAGAAACTACCAACCATAAATGGGTCTCGGGAATATTCGACACGCCATTTGAGAAGCTGCTCCCATTGACTTTAACTAAGAAGTATATAACTCGGAAACTTCGCGGCTTCCATCTTCAGATACTCCCAAGATCCATTCCGAGCTTTGAAATCGCAGGCGATTTCATGCTGGTTGGTGGTTTCACCAGCCATTGAAAACACCCAAAATAGGACAGTCAACGGGATCCCACGTATATAGGGTTGAACACACACCCACACACTCTCACACACACACACATATATATATAATTTTATATATATATATACAGATGTGAAAATAACCATACATATGCACAAAAAAAACCACTAATCAGGCATTCCAAAGAAATCAACAGCTGGGATGTTTGTGTTGACCCTGAGTTCCTGCCGGCAGATTGCTGGCGGCAGCTAAAATCTGTGTCCATATATCTTGGAAAGCAAGAAAATAATACGATATACACCCAGAAACCTGGATATATACATATATATATATATATATTTCACTACAAGGGGAGAGAGAGAGAGAGAGACATATATATATATAATATATATAATATACAAATATAATATAATGATATATATATATATTATACAAATCTATATGTATGATTGATTATATTTGTATGTATCTCTCTCTCTCTCTCTCTCCATCTCTATCTCCCTCTATGGGCCACTCTTGGACCTAGCTAAGTCGGCTCAGTGTATAAAACCTGGTGGCTTCAATCCCTTTGAACAAAATATGAGTTGGGAGTCTCGCTTTGAAACCTTTGAAAACCAAGTAAACGGTTGGTACAACGTCTCAGGTTTGTTTCAGGGTCTGTTTTTTTTTTTTTAAATAGCGATATAAGTGGATATAAGTGGATCCATCTCCATGTTTTCTTTCCCACATGTGGGTGCCCCACATCAAGCCACCCTCTTTCCTGATGAAGTTTGGAGTTCTGAGACCCTTCAGGGTCATCCCGGAAAGTGATGAATTTCTCTGAATGCTCCACTTGAACATCTTGAACTGAGGGGCAACAAAAACACCAGGGATTGACATTGGAATCATTAGAAATGGGATGTGCCGCTATGTGCTGAGCGAATCTCTGTGAAGCTTCTGGTCCGAGACATGGCCCGACATGATGCCCTTTGGGCATCAAAGGGATTCCAGTCCGGATTCTGCGGGTTTCCGTTTGCGCCGAACGCGTAGGTGTCCTGAATCAAGCCCTTTTAGGGGACTTTGCCCGCAAGAAAGGGTGGAACAGCCTCCTCAGTTTTCATTAGATTAAAACGATCGAACCCGAAGGTCAGTGACTTCTGATTTCCTTCTTGACGTTTGTCACGAACAAAGGAAGCTGCCAAACAACAGGCGCAATCTTCTGCAAGGGCAGCCTATCAACGATGTCAGGACGTTGAGACGTCCGAAAATTGTGCATTGTGTTTTTTTGGTCGAAATCCCCAATCTCTTTGGAGGACCCTAAAAGAATCATAGTCAGTAGGACAGGACATTTCAACTGCGCCATGGACCAAACAATGTAAGGTGCGTAGATCTATATTAGACATTGTCATGATTCGCCATGGGCAACCTGCAATGACAAACTTTTCGTTGGATTAAATTCCCCTACGCAGTGATTTCTTTTAATCATCCCTGGCTCCTGTATTCATGTTTATGGCAATGTTTACTATTATTATTATTATCATTTATATAATTCTATTGTATTTTATGTTTCTTTCTCTCTCTCTCTCTCCCTCCAGCGCCCTCATTTTTCAATATTTGGTTAAGGGCTTAAGTCATTCCAGTCCTGCAAGTTCGAGCACTTGAAAAATCCCAAACCCAAAGCTGTCGTCCCAAAATCGTTCATCATTTATGATACGTTTGATGAGGTCATTATGTTGAACACGTGAAGGACCCAGTTTGTTCTACTGAAAGACTTTCTACTACATTGATGGTTAACTATAAAACATTATAAACCAACAATTCACCAAAATTTACCCCATGCTTACTGCGCCATGTTCTTTCTTCGCAGATCGGAGCCGAGTTGAAACCCAGCCATCTCGCCCAAGTGAGTCATCCTGGTCAGCTGGGGATTGTCTTCCAATGACAAGTTTTTTTGGGATCAAGATTGATTGGGGGGATTGTTGGATCCAATTTATTATTGGATTTATTGGATTTTTTTGGGAGCAACTGAGCAACTATTGGATGATTGGATGTTTCGGAAACAGCAACTTGATCCACATTGAGCAGCGCAGATTCAGACTTTGACCTGCACTTGAGATGTTCACCAGTGGGTTGATGAGTGCTACATGGATGAAGGACAGATTTGGGTGTTTCAGTTCGCCCAGCATGCCACAACCATTCCTGAACATCCAAAACTGAAGGGTTTTAGGGTTTTGCATGTAAGATCATGTAAGCATCTTCCATGAGTCGATTACTAAGGTCCCTAATTGGAAGAAACGCTCATGTTTCAAAAGGTGTACCCGCAATGGAAATCTCAACTAGCGATGTGAACGCCCATGGAAATGCAATCCGTTTGTGGGAAAAAAATCCGAAAAGTAAACTCGCATGAATATCATGAATCCATGATAACCCATGGAAATCCCATTGTTCTAATCCGGAATCGTGATGATTCTCCTGATATCTTCTGGCTCAGCTTGTGTTCAGCCTCTTCTATGCGTAGCTCCCTTGCTTTAGCTTGTTCTAGTTTGAGTTCGAACTCTAGTCCTAGCTACAGCAATCGCTTGATCTTGTTCAAAATTTAGATTGTATTCTATTCCTAGCTGCAGTAATAACTTGATCTTGCTCTAGCTTTAGGTGAAAACCTACACCATAGTTTGATCTTCTTCAAACTTTAGATTGTGTTCCAGTCCCAGCTACAGAAATAACTTGATTTTTGCTTCATCTTCATCCTTCATCTTCATCCTTCATCTTCATCCTCACTCTTCAACCTCTTCATCATCATCCTTCATCCTCTTCGGCATCTTCCCTCTCATTCTCCTTCTTCCTCCTCGTCCTCCACTGCCGCTTCTTCCCTTCTTCAGCTTTATCCCATCCCCGTCTTGTCTGTCGTTGCTCCGGCCAGCCCTAGGATGCTGCATTTGTCCACGTTTTCTCACTGTTTTACTGCGTGCTGAAACCAAAAGCGAGCTACAACAAACAGCTTGTGCGCCACCCAATTTTACATCCTTTGCCTTTCACGCGATCAAGGTGTTACGCCTACCAGCTTTTGAACAATCTAGTTTTTTACACACACACACACAGACTTTTACATCAACCAGCCTTTGCGCCAACCAGCTTTTACACAAGACGTGTTCTGATTCTACAGGCCTCCCATGGCCAACATCCATTAGGCCATTGGGCCGGCCGGCCGAATAGCCGGAGGGTTTTAAATCCACATGAAAGACATGAGCAAATAACATACAAATGAGTATAAACACACATACATATAGATAGATAGATAGATAGATAGATAGATAGATAGATAGATAGATAGATATACAGATAGACAGATAGATAGATAGATAGATAGATAGATAGATAGATGGATAGATAGACAGATAGATAGGCAGACAGACAAACAGACAGACAGATAGACAGATAGGTAGTAGATAGATAGATAGATAGATGGATAGATGGATAGATGGATAGATGGATAGATGGATAGATGGATAGATGGATAGATGGATAGATGGATAGATGGATAGATGGAT